TTCCGTCTTATTACAAAAATCATTTATAGGAATTTCAACGTGATAATTTGAAAAATGGATTCGTGGATTTATTTTTTTCTTGCACATCTGTGATGCAAATGCCTAGTTGAGATTTTTAATTTTTGATCCAAGTAGAAGCCAAATGCGCGGAGAATTGCGAGTACGCTTCTAAGGCTATTGATATTAATCGTTGCATATCTTCTTAAAATAAATGCAACGCAGATTTGTCGTGTTTTGGGTCGTGAGACACTACAAGACCGACCAAGAGGTGTGAGACCTTGATAAAAAACATTCATAAGCTCATTTCAAAGATATTGTACAAATTGCTAGAATATCCACAAACCTGCTGCCTCTACGATAAAATCGAGCCATGCCTCTTGTTCTTTGCTCGGCAAATCTTTCAGTATATGACTGAGAGACATTGTTTTTTCTTCTCCTTTACCGTCTCTGTGTAATGAGAACAGTGAAGGTGACAAAATGTTGAACTAAAAATTAATAGATGTACGAAAAATAGATCTACCATTAGTGGCCAGTAGACTGTTGTGTTAAACTTAGAGCATGATAACACTTACCAATTCGTCATCGCCCTGTTCCGGTACCAAACTTAGAAATCGTGGGGAAAACAGCTTAATGGTTTTCTTATCAAAGTTTGTTATGTTTTTTCCGGACGCAACCAGAAGCATCTGCAATTATGGAACATTCAAATACACAAAGCGCAAATTTGCTCTAGGAACTGTAACATACAGTAGCGACCATAATTATTAAGTGCATTTAGTAAAATGACTATATCGCTTCAATTTCGACGAAATGAGTTAGAATTCAACTCAAATGTGATGTTGTTAATATGCTAACATATGCTATAACACTTTAAATGCGCAACAGAAACTGTTCAAAACAAACGATATGATAAATAATAAACGCACTTTTTATTCAATGCCTTCTTCATCTTCCGATATTTTTTTTGTGAGAGTTATTTTTATAGCATACTGCATGATGAATTTTGTCAAACTTGTGAAAGAAGTGCAGTTTTTTTTCTTTCCTACATCCGACAAAGCGAATAATAATGAATGTTAACTCAAGGTAAAATCTCCCCCTCCTCTCCCTTCTCTTTTCTCTCCACTCTCTCTCCCCTCTTTTCCACACTTTTTGTTGAAATTTAGCTTAGTTATTTCGTTAATACTAATGTTACAAGGCTTCTGAATTCAGACAATACGCATTTTTCAGTGAAAGTTTAAGTTTGACCGCCTCAGCACAGATCAGAAGTTTAGAAGAATCAGTGTTGGGCTCGTGTTGTGCGTTGGCTCCTAAGTTAAACTGGAAA